GAATGGGAGATGAAAATTGCTACTACTTCCAGGAATAATTGTCTTTGTTAAGAGTCAAGACATGCTATTAAAGTAATACTAGATGTGATCTGTTCTAATAATGCATCCATTCAGAATGCACCATTCCTCCAATAGAAAATGTATTTTGTGTAAGAAATTGTTGAACAGGTTAAATAGACAGCATACATTACTTTTACAATAGTATTACTCCCTTCTCTTTTTCCTCACTCTCATACTCAGCAGCAGGAACTAGATGTCTTCCTCAGAGGTTGTCCTGTTTGTGTCTCTGCACAGTTCTGTGTAAATTGTGGGTGAGAATATTTTTTATTTCCCCACAATTCCTGAGAATACAGAAACCACAGTTGTCCTAAAACCTTCCCCCCAGCAGATATTTCTGTTTGCAATGACCTTCATGATTTCTACTTGGTTTTGGATACCACACTTAATTTTTTTTCCTTGGACTTTCATAGCAGATATTAGTCTGATCTAAGGGCCATGCTGGCTTAGAAATTCTGGGAGTTGAAGTCCATGAGTCATAAAAGAGCCAAGGTCGCCTACCCCTGTGCTAAGCCAACACTGAACCAATCACCTTTTTGGTGAGGATCTTTCCCCATTGCTGAGTTAAAATGCTACTTCCTGAGTCAGCAGAAAGCTATATCAGGGGTCTTCAAACTTGGCCCTTTTATGACTTGTGGACTTCAACTCCCAGAATTCCTCAGCCAGGCACATTGGCTGAGGAATTCTGGGAGTTGAAGTCCACAAGTCATAAAAGGGCCAAGTTTGAAGACCCCTGCCTATATGGACACAACATTTGCAATCCCTACTTATGATCCCCATCCTGCCTTTATTACCTCTGCTCTTTATTGGCAACAAATGGTAGTGTCCTGGTTTGTGTATGAGTGTCTCTATGTCTGTGTCTGAGTCATGTTAGGTAAAATGATTACTCTTGTTTTGTTTCTCTCCCTAGGTGACAGCTGACAGCCACCATTCAGGATAGGAATGTGGGTGGGGAAGGGAAGGTTCTGATGATTGTAAGCTGTGTGTTCCAGATGTCTTGGGAGTTTGAGCATGTTGTGGGGGGGGGATTCTGGGAATTGTTTTGTTCTGTTTTTCTGATGGAGTTGAATTAGCATGTTGAGCCAAAGAAGAGGCTTGCCTCTTACTTGCAGCTTTCATACCCTTCAGACTATCCATAAGCAAAGAGTTCCACCACTTACGGCATCATAAATTTCAGCCCAAGTGCCAATGGACTTACGGTTGCTCCCACACATACTTTGCCTTGCTTCCAAACACCTACCCACAGTTATTAGCACATATGTTTTCCATAGATAATCATTCATCATCAGCGAAGCTGATAGTTGGTTCAACTAAACTTCAACCAGCTGGTATTTGCAAAAAGTCTTTTCATCCCCGTTTTCTGCATGTGGTCTTGCTAAAAATTAACCCCTGAAGTTTGTTTATGCATTCTGATGACTGCTTACAGATTCCCTTGCCACACACATGTGCAAAACCAAAACACGTTTTCTGGAATAAATACATCATTGCTGTCAAATTTTACCTTCTCCCCAGCCAGACCATGCTCAAGAGAGTAATTTCTGGTTGTTTTGCCCAATCTGTTGGTGACACCGGCTGAGAAAGGAAACAAAGCCAGAGACTCCACCATTTGCTTTCTTTAATTTATTCCATACTACAAGCAGCATGTATCTCAGCTGTCAGTACCTATCCTTCCATCCCCCTTCCCCACCGTCAGAACTGATGAAGAGAAATGTTTTGTTCTTCTTCCTCAAGGGAAAAACAGTCCAGTTGCCTTTTGAAGAAAAAAAACACACCTTTGAGACAACGATGACCTGGATGACTGAGACTCTCCACAGACATATGAGGGGACAATTTCCCCCTGCCCTTATTACCAGAAGCATCTGAGGGAAGGAGTCAAAAAATTCAAAATAGTGACCATAACATGTGACTGAAGTATCATCCTTTTGCACGTGCATGCACGATTGACGTGTACAAAAAGGAGTGGGGCTCTGATTGTATGACCACAACCGCCATTGTGACTTTTCTGAACCTCTCTGTAGATGCAGCTGCTTGTTACTGAGCTGAATAGATTTCGGTGAGGAACACAGTGAAAAATGTGCTGGCATAATTTTTTCGCTGTCCCCGGGGTTAGAAGAAAGGACCTCAAGTGAGATTCTGATGAGGAATAATCCTAAATCACCAGAGGGAAGGAAAATTAGAGCAGATATACAGTATGTTCCTATTGACCTCTCTCTTACACACATTCATTTCACAGGGATAGCAAAGGTTTCAGTTATTACAGAATATTGGTTTCTTCTGTTATGCTCTTTGTAAAATGAGTATTAGCCATCTGGGAATTGTGATCAGCTTAGCCAAATGGATGGGGCTTTGCAACTTCGTAGGACTTTTATTCCCTGATCCTCACCTCTGACCTCAAGTTCAGTGCTTAATACCACCTTTGCGGCTTTACTTGAGTCCAGAGCAGTAATTCCAAATAAATTGGATAGCCTGCAGATCATTTTCTTTGTGACTAATGGGAGGAAGCCTTGCAGATCAATTCGGCCAGGGATTTCAGATCAGTCTGATTTTTAATTTGGTTGTTGAACAATTGGTTTCTTCTCTAAGTCTCAAAAATATATTTGGGCAAACTGCAGTTATCTCATGGCTATAACCTAGCAGATTTTCAACTGTACTATTGAGCCTTTATCTTAACATTTTTTTTCTGGAATAAGACTTATTGTATTAAGTTCACTTCCTTTTCTGGACTGATTTGGAAAGCAAATGTGTATCATCCCTGAAATCTTGGCAGGTGTTAGGATCTAGGTCAGGGGTGTCAAACTCAATTTCACTGAGGGCCGCATCAGCATTGCGATTGCCCTGGGGGGGGCCTGGGTGGGTATGGCCAGAGTGGGTGCAGCCTACTGGGTGAGCGTGGATGGAGTGGGTGTGGCCTACTGGGTGAGCTTGGCCAGTTCTACATCATTCGCGTCAAGGGTGCCTATGGGGGCCGGCAGGAGTGGGACAGATCTGAGGGTCTCTGGCAGAAGGGGGTGGGACCGGGGCAAGTGCCAAGGCATGGTCCACCGGGGCAAGTGCCAAGATGGCCAACACAAAATTGTACATTGGCTCCTGGCTGGCCTGGGCCAGGGCCATGGCAGTGGGGGCCATTCCCTCACTGTTTCCAGGATGGCTTCGCGGGCCACATGAAACCACTTCGCGGGCTGCATCCGGCCCCCGGGCCTTGTGTTTGACATGTCTGATCTAGGTATATTAAATCAGGATCATGTCCAGCTTTGAAAGCTGCTAGACATATTTGGTTATTAATAGGTAAGCAGTTGTGATTTGATCTCAAATCACATGATAACTTGATGTGGTAGAACTCAGATTTGAAAATAGCAAGGAAGAGGTTCTGTTTGAATACCTGGGCTAAATAATGGCTTAATATTTTAAATCAATTGATTTTCAATGGCTGTTTTAAAATTTTTGAGATATTGTCTTTTGAGTTTGGCTTATCTGCAATATATTCTTGGCAATATACTCAACTAAGATGTATACTAACTAAAAACATGTCCTGAAAACTTTGCCAGCCTCCAAGATACGTGTTATTTTAGCTTCATTAAGAGAGGCTGCAGTCAAATGAATATCAAGAATTCATTTTTATAAGGTAGTAAAAAAATGAAAGAAAAGTGCATTATTTATATATTGGATCTATGGAAGGAAAAATTAGAATATCCAGTTTTGGAAAATCAATGGGTCCATGTATTAAAAATGGTAAATACACTTCTTACTACGGTATTTAAAGATGAAACTAATTAATCATTTGATATTATGATAGGTCTATTGGACCTATCTAGGAATGTTTAATAAAGTTAAATTCTTTAACTCACATGACTTTATCTTGTTCTATTGTAGCTTTGGGGGGGTTTCACATTAACACATATGTTAATGTAATCTTGGGAAGAAGTAGTTAAGGATCTCAGTGTGATTTTGAACTATATTTGTAAAATATTGAATTAGTCATTTTATGAGGAACTTTGGGTCTATAAAGCTGGTAGTACAACAAAGGGGATACTGGTACATACTGTAAGTGGAAAGAAAGTCATTGTAATTTTAAAGAATGGATCCAGGATATCAGTTTGTTATTTGTTTTTGAAGAGTATTTGTGCTTTAAAAATGAAAAAAGAATGACACATTTTGTTGCTAAATGGTAATTAGATTTAATGATAAACTCAACAATTTAAATTAACTCCTTATAAATATTTATACTGATCATGTGGATCTTTTACTTTTGTTATTGGTTTTTTTAAAAAATGTAATTGTTATAATTAGTTCCTTTAAACACTAATTGATTCAGCCCTTTTCTATTTTCTTTAATTTGTTCATTTAAAGCAGTCTTTTCCTGGAAGCAAATAATTATATACCACCATCACCCTTTTACCACACTGAATCAAAGCAACTTTCTATTTTTTTTTATGGATATAGGAAAATCACATTGTTGGTATTTTACTAAGTTAGATTCTGTGAATCTATTTTATGTATACATGTGCAATAAATTTTACCCCCTTAGAATCAAGGTGCCAAATACCTCAAAGCCTGGAGCAATAGTAAACACAATGTATTTCAAATTAGGTTTCATTCATCCAAGATCTTAGAGTTCTTCCTCTTTTTCCCCCCTCATTGCCAGGCCTAGACTTTAGATTGCAACATCCACAGCAAAAATAGATGGAAATGTGTAGCACACAAGTAATCCTTGTTAAGTGACCAGAACTGGGACCAGCAAATTGGTCGTTAAGCAAAGCAGTCACTAAGTAAAACATCACAATTTTACTTCAGCTTTCCTTTGCTTTACAGATTCTGCAAAGATTCCCACACAATTAACTTTTTCATCACCACTTTCTGTCCAAGGCAGTTGCTAAATGAGAGCTACCATGTTTCCAAATTATCAAGGGTTCGCCTTCTGACACTATGCCAAAATGAGTGGGGTGGAGGTGGTGGGAGCTGAGTGATGGGAAGAAGGGTACTTAGTGAAATTCATTTGCTCTGCCCTTTGAAATTCACCAAGCTTATTATAGCTAAATCGTGTCTACACACACACCAATATCTGTAACTCATAGCTTTATGTACATCCCAAAACACATGTAGGATGGGACTACCCATCTCTTATTTTAATTCAAGCAGGGTTATAGGTGAAGGCTTCGGAAAGAGGAAGCTCCTAAATTAGGAAACCCACCCATTTATTTGTTTTGCTAGAAATTTAGGATTGCCTTCAACTCAGGCTATGTCGAAGCTTCTGAATTCATCCATTAACCAAAGCAGGGCAGTGAGAAAATGCTGCATGATGTTGTCCCAGAGTTCCATGTCTTCTCTGCCCTGAGTGAGAATCATGCCTCCAAGTAAAAAGACGACTTGCACTTTGAGGCTTCTGGTTCTAGCTTTCTCTCCCTTCTACCCCTGGGATGCTCAAAGACATGGAAAGTCTTTCCCCGTGTGTCCGGCTTCTTCCTTTTCTGCTCTTTTTTCTGACCTTGCATCTCCGAGGCCCTCTTCTGCTCCTCTGGGGACGACGGGGGCGGGTCTACCTTGATTTTGGGGATGTGGAAAGTATGTGAGTGAATTTCCTTCTCTGTCTTATTGTTCTGTGCATCCTCCAGTTGCTGAACGTCAAAGATGGCCCTTGCACCAGAAAGGCGCTGCTTTGAGCTATACTGGAATTTAGGCTGAGTTTTGCACAGTTTTCCCAGTTGGATTCTACATTCACGTCCCAGGTCACTCTCCGAGATGGGCACATCATGGACCTACCAAAGGTGAAGAAAGCAACAAGGACAAGTTTAGGTGCGAGGCCCAAGGAGGAAAATAGGAATTTAGAATTACTTGCATTGCAGTAAATGGACTTCTAAGAAAGGAGGGGTGAAACCTGTCGATCTGTATGTGGCCATAAATTCCTTCTTTTATGGCTCTTATGGCTTCAATAAGGGGCATTTCTAAATTTGGGCTGCAAACTCCCTGAAGAAAAAAAACTCATTTGGAGGAGCAAAATAATTAAAAGCGGGTACATAAGGTTTCGCTTAAATTTAACACAGTAGGAATAACAAGAAGCAGCCCAGCAATACAATAAAATCAAAACCCCTACCTTGGAATGGGACCTAGGCCCTTGAGTGAAGTTACTTCTTTGCTTAATATCACTCAAGGGCAGTTCTCAGCTCTCGAATTTCCCCACCTCTGCAACAGGGATGAGGAAAGGGCGTTGGTGAATGTCGCAGGCTTATAGCTGGTCTCTCTGTATGATAGATTGGGACTGCTGGATAGATTTCTGGGTGCCTAGCAGCCAATCAGTGAAGGCTCCCATGGGTAAACTAACCTCCTGATTTCTTAAAAAAAATGCCTCTGGAATTCAGTGGCAAAATAGCTGATTTCAAGCAAGGCGCTTTTCAGCAACCACCACCACCATGAAAAGGCCAAAATAAAGGAGAGAAGCCAAATTCTATGTGTTGGATACTTACAAAGTATCCTATATAACATGACACAGAATTAAATCACAAAATGGATTCTACTCATTAGAGCCATGCGTCTTACTACCCCTTGAGAGCCACTACCCTACCAGATACATAGGAAGTATATGGGACTTGGATCAGGTGGCTGGCCTTTTCTGCAGTGGCCCCTGACTTCTGAAATACACTTTTTCCGGACATGTATGTGTAGCATCTCCCTCCTTGCATTCTGCAAACCAGCAGAATCTTTTTCTTATTCTATCATGTTTTGGTCCTAATTGGCTGTTTGATGGCATTTATCTTGGTATGTAGATAGTGTATTTTATTGTACTGTATTGTATTGGTTCTATCTAATTGTAAACTGCCCATGTCTTATAACTGTGATAGTCAATAAATATTGCAAACAAAGAAAATCCATGCATATGCATTAAGTCTCCATGTCCTTCCATTGAGCAGTCCATTTGCGTCTGAAAGAAAAGGGGGTCACTCTTTTGAAGACAGCAAAGTTTATATTCTGGACAGAGAGGATGATAGTTTGAAAGAGGGTTCAAAGAGGCCATCTATGTTAAAACTGAAAAGCCCTCCCTCAACCATGGGGAAGGGACATGACACCACCTATCTCCTGTTTACTACACAGTCCTTTCAGTGGTCCCAAGAAGGTTCCACACCCGTTTACACTCTGATTCGGGTGATTCTAAAGATACAGATAATCCCCCAAGTGGCCTCAATGACCCTCAGAGAGCTAAGGACAGATCTTCAAAAGGCTAATGATCAGATGACTGCAAAGAATATAATCTCCATTCCCCTCCAGTCAGTTAGAACTGAAGAAGCTTCTTGGATGAGGAAAAAAAAACAAGAAAATCCAGTTGCTTTTGGGAAAAAGCACCTTTGGAACATACATTCCTTTCTGTCTTTTAACATCCCACTCTTTACACAAAGACACATTGTATGCCTTCCTTGTGTACCGTTAAACACCAGAGGCAAATACTTGCGAGCTCCTACACTTTCACAAAAACTCCCAATTATCACTGTAATCATCTTTTGCAGGTCTCATATGCCTGCACACCAAAAATAGTTGATTGTGGCTAGAAAGAAACACAAAAGGGAGCTGCTTCACCAGACAGGAAGTTTTTGTAGTTTCTACCTCAGCCATGAAGCTGTCTTCTTGCAGAAACTGAGGTGGGATGTTGCGTAGCTTCTCCAGTGTCTCCACCAATCCTGAACAGTCACGTAGTTTTTCAGAGGAGCCCAGGGCTAGGCGGACTAACAGCAGACCGACACGAAACAACACCTTGACCCCTATAGGAGAAAGCCAGGACAGGATCCAGAGCAGCTGAGCTCATGACAAGCACTCTTATACACTCTTCCCCAATCATCTAGCCAGGCCTATTTGGATAAGCAGCATCATTTTTCAGGTTTCATGTTGGCTGGAAGTGTTGGGATTCAAATTGGGTGTTCTTCCATTGAACAATAGTGATTCTTATGGTTTCTGGATAATCTGAGAACTCCAGGAAAGCAGAATTAGTGTTTCAAATTTCTTCCCCAAAATGCTGGTAAATGAATTTACTGAAGTCATTCTTTGATACCAAGCTATCCTGCTTACTCAGAGTATTGCAGCTAATGTAGAACTATAATTCCCAAAATTCCCACTCTTTGCCCACACTCACAGAGAATTCTGGGAGTTACAGTCTCAGAACCTATAGAAGGCTGGGGATGACTGCCCCTCTAAAATAAGATTGAGTAATTTGATAAAAAAAAAATCAGGATCTCAAGTATGTCCTTCAACTATAGCTCCTGAAAATCAGCATATGTTTCCTATTATTTTGAAGTGGAAACACTTAAAAAATGTAGTACAAGCCCTAAAATAACATAAAAATGAGAAAACCTCAAAAAAGTCCCTGCATAACATTGGATTTTTGGTGACTTCTTGGACTTGTCCATAAGCTTTTCTTGGCAATCATATGGCATAGCTAACAATATGCTAGTATCTTTTTCCTGAATGTTTTTTCAACTCCCCATTTTATCTATTTTACAGCCCTCGAATTCCCTAGTAGTTCTTCATCTAAATAATTATCACACATGATCTTGCTTAATGATTTTGGAATAACTCCATTCCAAAATGTAGAAAAAAACAGAATGTCCTGGCTCTGTGAAAACACAAGAGCAAAACTCTGCCTACTGAGCAACATCTCTAATTTGCTCTTACAAAAGATCTTAAGTGTGAGTCCATCATAATATTGTCCATCTTGGTTCCAAATCATGACCATCCCTGTATCCCTGTCCTTCTCCGTCCAATATCCTATTTCTTCTTAAATTTACTTCAGAAAGATTTTAATTTCTTCCTTTATCCCTAGAAGATACCTCTTCCTAAAAGGAAGGTTGTTCCGACTCGCCTGCCATTGTTTTCCATTTTAGCCTCCTGCATCTGTAGGGTTAAACTCTAGCAATTCATTCTCCCAGTCACCTCATACCATCAGTTGCCGCCTTGCAAAGTTCTGCAATATGATTCTGCTTCTTGTCTCAGTTCAGACTTACAAATCCCCAAGTGCTCATTGCCCTCACTCACTCACCCTCACTCAGGAAGGCGTCCCAGACTCTCAACACTGTGGGGAAGGGCAGCGTGCGGGCAAAGAGGCACAGGAACCACTCAGGCATGTACATCAAAGGCCCCACTCCATGCTTCTGCAAGTGCTTAAAGGCCTTGGGACACACACGATGGAGGAGAGCCGTAAAAATTTCACTGTCTAGCACCAGCGCCTCCTGCAGGAAAAAAATGCAGCTACATCATCTAATCAAACAGTCTCCTCTTCTGTTACTCTCACCTTCCTACTCTCACCCGTCCTTGACTTATAACTATTTGTTTACAATCGATAAAAATTATGACAGTGTGAAAGCAAGCTGGGTATTAAAACACTGAATTACTTTTTCTTTATTCTTCTGTAAATGATAGAATAGGATGTTTAAACTTCAGCCTGCATATAGCCTTCTGGATGGACATGGAGATTTTAATTAGACTCTTCTTGCCTCTGTAAACTTACGTTGCAATATAAACCACGTGATAGGGAAAACACATCATTTGTAGCAGACCAGTGATATCTTATGATCTGACTTGAGTACTGCATTTTCATTTGTCATTTTTTTTTGGCAGCTGTGATATCAGGCTTTAAATAGTGGCCGTTCAACTATTTTCATTTTAATATCTAAAACTGAAGATTTTATTTAAAATAAATTTTATTTCCTTTATGACTTGTGAAAATGGCCTATTTATCAAGCAATGGCTGAATCTTCAAGTCACGTGCCTCCATGCTATAGTCAGGAAGTGGCAGTATGGAAATTATTTTACTTTATGCATTGTGATCTTTCTATCATCAGAAAGAGAACAAGACTGAGAAAGCCCAGTTAAGGTTACAGGAAGTGTTAAGAGAAGAATAATTTGTGAAATGGCCCCTGGAAGATAGTGTAGTAGCAGTAGGAACTACTAAGCCATTATCCCAGAACAGAATAGACAGAGTGTGAAGGCCAGGGTATGAAGACACAAAGCACTTCCAGGAGGGGAATTCTGAGACTTCCATCCTTCCATCCTGCAGTTTCATCCATCCACTACAGTAGGGGGTCTCAAAACGTGGCAGCTTTGAGACTTGTGGACTTCAATTCCCAGGGTTCCTCAGCCAACTATGCTGCCTGGGGAACTCTGGGATTTAAAGTCCACAAGTCTTAAAGTTGCCAAGTTTGGAGACCCCTGCATTACAGTCTTGCTTGCCATCCTCACCTGGCACAATTCTTGAGCTTTAGGCTTTAATTTCATGGGTGAATCTTCCTTTATGTGAGTCAAATATGAAGTTGTACCACCTGAACTTTTGCCTTTAATCTAGCTATTTAAAGGCTCAAAATACTCAAAATAATAAATAAAAATGCAGTCCTATGCCCCCCCTTGGTCCTCAGGCACTCTCTTCCACTATGTGGAACAAGATGCGAACAGCTGATCAGCAGGCTTGTTGAGATGCCAGATCTGGAAAGAGCTGCTCTTTCAAAGTCCCATACTTCCAAAAGTCTTCTAATTACATGCCTGTTTTGCTTAATTAAAACCAGAGAGAGATTGAAAGAGGGATATGTTAGGGGTTCCATTCTTCTCCCCAATCAGTGGTAATTAATATCATCTCCAGCTGGAGAACATTCTGCCTAGGATGTTGCTTTCAACAAAGGAACCTAACAAATCATTTTTTTCTAACAACTGCCATCCTGGAACCTTATGGAAAACATCATAAGAAGCTAAGTGGATTCTTCTCAACAAGAGTTGAAGGGCCAGATTGTTAAAAGCTGATCAGCATTTGATGAACCAGCACAAGCCAGCAGGTAGCAAATGTCAAATCCTCACTCCTGCCCATCATCGTTTTCCTGGCTGCTGCTATTGTTGAGAAGGAAAGATGGGTACCAAAGTCTGAACCCATGACTTCGTTTTCAAAACCCTGCAGATATTTTGATTAAAAGGATGGTACCATTTGGCAACAAGCTAGAATAGAGGCTGTGGAAGAAGGATAAGCATTAGCAGTGGGGACAGAAAAAATTATCTCAATATAGTTTCTGCTATTAAAAATTGGTGGATGGAACGTTAACTCAACCCTAAAGAGAGGCCTTAAGAATTGGTGTCCCACTCCAGTTTGTTGGATTTCCCTTCTTCCCTAAATGTCTCACCATTTCGGGGCTGTAGTAACCAGGCAGATAGTGGTCGCAGATCTGTACCAGGCACCAGAAAGCTTGCTGGAAAAAATAAATAGGCAGCCATCAGGGAAGACAAACAGTAGCAGCTGATAGAGAGGATCTAGCATGGAATAACTCTGATGTAGGAAAGATAAAAAGGGTGAAAAATCTGATCCTGCCCGTCTTGCCTGGAAAATCAGAGGGATGCCACCTGGTCCCTCTCAGGGATCTTCAAAGGGTACATTAAAAAAAATGTCAAGATGCAGTCAGGAGGTCACGATGGTGCAGTCAAATTTCTGCCAATTTTTATTTGTGGCAATGCATATAAAAACAGACCGATCCAAAACTGCACCCTCTGGACTAGCTGCATCTTGACTCGACTGCTATGGGGACTTTTTTGACCCCAACTGCAGACACCACTGTCATTTATCTTTTAACTTGTTGAAGGGCAGTAGAAGCAATCTGGTTTCTCAGGAGCTTTGGGAATTGGGTTCAACGCCATCAATTTTCTATTTGGGAAGTATTTTAATGTTATATGGTCTTACACCCTACCCAGATTTTTTTCAGATTGGACTGGATCATATATTTTGTTTGATCATTTAGTCAATCAATCCAATAACCATAGTGATAAGTGTAAGGGTGAATGGCTTTGCCTGAGACTCACCTCTGGTGGCATGTGCATGAGAAGCAGGGCGCCCACTGGTCCTTGAGCTTGACAATAACCTTCTTGGGGCCGATAGACAGTGTAGGCTTTCAGCAGCTGCAATAGCCCCTGCTGTCTATAAGGGAATAGAGATCACAGAAGGCTTGAGGAAGCCATGGTCACGTCCTTGCCTTGGGTTCACCAGATCCTATCCAATTCAATAAGAGCAATCCAGCTCAGCTTTGTTCTGCTTTTAAGTGGAACTCTGTGCTGTGCCTTTGCCAGTGGGATTCAACCTGTTGCTCAGTCTCGGAATATGTAAATGGGCTTTCCCTTCCCCAACACTCTTCCATGGGGCAAATGATCAGTCTACATGGCAGGATTGTCCACTTTCCATAGATTCATGGGCTTCCCATATAAACTAGGTACCAACCAACTGGCTGGGATTATTCAAATAGTATCCCAGTACATCTGGAAAATTCTAACTTGGGGTTAGCCAAGTTAAAGTTAGAAATGGAACCAGTCATGCAAATTATAAAGAATTATAGCCTGTAATCATGCAACACGCTCAGTGTGGTTACTGAGTTAATTCATTTTCTAGGGTCACACAACACGTTGAACTATTCACCACACAAAGACTGAGTTTGGATAACCCATTAAGCCTTACATACACACAACCCAGAGTTAGGATCACGAGTCTTTATCCATGCTGCATAGTTTTTCAGAAGATGTGGTGAAGGGTTGTGGGGACACAGTTAGGGAAAGGTTCACTTCAGTCATCAAAACAATCATCCAACTGAAAGCACCACTGGCAGATTATTATCCAGCCTCTACATGAAAATATTCAGTGAAGGAAGTCTTGCTTCTTGTATCAATCCACAATCCTTTCCCTTCCTTAGATAGAGGTAGGTACACTTTACAAGGCAGTGACCATATATAATTTTTGGAGCATGCAGAGTGCACTATTATAATAAGATGAGCATGGGAGAATTTGACTTTTCACCAAATGAGTGCCATAATACTATGTTCTGCATGGGAAATTGCTCCCCATCATCTGAATCTTCCCAATTCTGACTTCTTTTGGTCTTTTTCCTGGTCAGGTGGGTATTTTTCCAAGCAAGCAATAGCCCAGTGGTGGCAAACCTATGGCACAAGTGCCAGAGGTGGCACTCGGAGCCCTCTCTGTGGGCACATGTGCCATTGCCCCAGCCTCGCCTCCCACCACGGTCCCCTCCACACCAGCAGCCCCCCCGGAGGAGAGTCGCCCCCAGGCACGGCCCGCCTGGAGCAGCGCAGCCAAGGACATGGCAGCCGGGCAGTGGGGACAAGACTCCACCCTTGTGCCCCATTGCAAACAGATGATGCTGCGGGGGCACGGGTGGAGGCTGTGGCCACCATGGTGCTGCTGGGCCACCTGGGCGATCTGCAGCAGGCCGTGGAGATGGTGGGTGGCCCTGCGGGTGGGTGGGGGCGGGGCAGGGGTGGAGCGGGGGCAGTGCGGTGTGGGGGTGGGGCAGTTTTTGGGCACTCGGTCTCTAAAAGATTCACCATCACTGCAATAGCCCATCGCTACCCACTGCTTTTATTTTCTATAAATGCTATTGGGATCTAGAGAGGCTGGCCCTTTGTTCCGCAGAATGCTAACTTCCTTTTAATTTTTAAAAAATTAAAGTTAAATTTGAGCGAAGCAGGGAGCCTTGTAATTCTCAAAAAAAAAAACCTATTCACGGACCTGATGCTATTATACAACATATAGAACAACACATAAGCATGTTACAATTTAGATTTGGAATTGTTTTGATTTTTTTTTTTAATCAACGAAACATTAGACATAAAAATAAGAAAAAATTAAAAGAGGCAGTATATGAAGCATTTATATATTTTAGTTAAATATTGTTTATTTTCCATAAAACAAAGATGATGGACTGAAAAGTTCTTCAGACAACTACTCTGTATATTTCAGCCTGTATTATTTCAGAACAAATAATAATTTATTCAAACAATTCCACTCTGCATACTGTATCCCACTCACCCAGGGCCCTCAGGAGACAGGAACATCTCGTGGAAAGGGAATTGCCGGTGAATGTCCTTTGTGATAGTCTCCACCCACTGAGGATCACCAGGTACCTCAAGCAATTCCTGCAACAGCAACCAGGCCTCTATCAGTAGTGGCCCCATATTTGTATAACTCTTTCCCAACAATACCCCCTTCTTTATATGTTGTTAAAGAAAACCCCCACAGATAAACACAATAAAGCGATTGATAATACAGTGCCAGATGATGTGCTCTTCAGGTGCTCAACATCTACTAAGCGACAGCTGAAGATTTTTCAGTATATTAATAGTGTTTATGATATCATGTGGCTAAATTAAAGCCTTCCAGACATCTAGTTGCTGATGTTGACATGCGGGGGTGGGGGGGAATCAAATGCTGAAAAACAGAATCACTGTACTTTGCAACACGGAATGTAAAAAGCATGAAAACAGAAAAATGAAAGTAAAAATGGACTGCACATTGTCATCTTCTGCATCAGCTAATTGAAATGGACTGGAATTAAACACTTTCAACCGAAAAATCATATCGTTTACTACAAGATATAAAAACCAAGGAAGGAATGATGTTATAGTCAGGAAGGATACAGCAAAGGTAGTACTTGGGTACAATGACTCGTCGCTCCCAGGTAACGCCGCTGCTGCGTGAGCTGCACTGGCTGCCTGTGACTCGTCGCTCCCAGGTAACGCCGCTGCTGCGCGAGCTGCACTGGCTGCCTGTGGCCTTCCGAGTGCGCTTCAAGGTGCTGATTATCACCTTTAAAGCGCGCCATGGCATCGGACCTGGTTACCTCCGAGACCGCCTCCTGCCACAGATTACCTCCCACCGGTCGATACGCTCCCACAGAGAGGGCCTCCTCAGGGTGCCGCCAACCAGACAGTGTCGGTTGGCGACCCCCAGGGGGAGAGCCTTCTCTGTCGGAGTGCCCACCCTCTGGAACGAGCTGCCCCCAGAGATCCGGGTGATTCCGGATCTCCCCTCCTTCCGCCGCGCCCTCAAGACTTGGCTGTTTCAGCAGGCAGGACTGGC